TTCCATTTTTATATTTTCGGAAACATTTTTTCAGAATGGCACAAGAACACATTTTCAGAAATTTCAAAATAGACACTCAAAACACAAAATGCAAAACGAATTCAAAACTCAAAACATAAAAATGAAACACGAAGAGAATGACCCATAATATTCTCGAAGAATATAATGATGGCGCTTTCAAAAAATCACACTTTTTAAAAATTATAGAATTATTCGAATCAAATATTATCACAAACTTAAAGTTTGTTGATTCAAAAACTTTATAATTTGATGTAGTAGTTAGATTATGAGACATGTGTAACATATCTATAGTATGTATAAGCATCCAACTAAACTCATGGAGACTTGTTGAAAGGAAAATGCAAGAATCATGAAAATCAATACAATATAGTATTGAATTTAGCCAATCTAATTGTAAGGCTCTTGAGGAGTGAATATTATAGAAAAAATTGCAGTCACGGTATTAAACCTTTCACTTTTTTTTGCAGACATTGTCCAAACCTTTGTTTTGTACCCCCTACGGTACCAAACATTTAAACAATTCGTACCAGAAGTCCAAATTGACAGAAACCGTTAGTTGACCAATAATTTAATGTTTGACCAATTGTTAACCAATTTTTAAAGGTTAAATATGTAAATTTACAATTTTCATATGAAAAAAATTAAAATAAAAGAATTAAATTTTAAAAAAAAATCTCAAACTATTATTCATCTCCTTCTCCCACCCCCACCCCCAATCATCTCCTTCTACACCCTTCCCTACCATCCTAAGGGTGCCGTCCACAACTTCCGCAGACGACGCTTCAGCTGCCGCCATTGCTTCTTCCTCACTTGCTTCTAGTCCACTATCCTTCGCATTGCTATTCTTCTCCTTGCCGCCGCTTCCTTCTACGTGCTCTACCACCTCCATCGCCCTGCATTCTCCGTCACCTCCCTGAAAATCTCCCAGTTCAATCTCACCACCACAACCTCAGACGACACAACCCACTTAACAACTCAACTAAACCTTACTCTATCCGCCAAAAACCCCAACAAAAAGGTGATATTCTACTACGATCCCATGTCCATCACAGTGTCATCTAATCAAGTTACCGTATCATCCGATTCTTTTAAAAATTTCACCAATTTGCCGGACACCATTTTCATAATTCACACCATAACTGGGTGGATTAAACTACCAATTATTAGATAGGGACGAATCGAATTCATTGAAGTCAGATCTGAAGAAGAGAAATATGACCCCATTACAAATCGTTGTGGACAGGATGATAGGGGTGAAAATGGAAAAGCTGAAAACGAAAATGGGTAGAAGGGGTGGGGGTGGGGGAAGAAGGCATCCTCCATGGGGACAGTGGCGGAGGTTCAAAACTTTCGATCTGGTGACGGTGGCTATCAGATCTGTGTGAGTGGAAAATGTGTGTGTGTGTGTGAGAAAGAGAGAGAGAGAGAGAGAGAGAGAGAGAGAGAGTAAGAGATGGGTGGTTTATATTAAAATTGTAAATTTACTATTTTGCCCTTATTACATTTGTTCAATTTTTATTATTTCGGTCAACTAACGGTCAAATGGATAGTTTCCATCCATTTGGACTCCAACTGCTACATATTGAAAGGTTTGATATCGTGAGTGGTACAAAACAAAGGTTTAGACAAAGTCTGCAAAAAAGTGAAGTGGCTGCAATTTTTCCAATATTATATTACTCGCTTTTTCTTGATTTTTACTATACAATTATTAGTACAATTAAATCAAAGAATGTATTGAAACGAAAGTTCAATAACTATAGTATTTTATTATTTGACATGTTCAGTTAGATCATGATAAATCAATAATGATGCAAAATTGAGAATTTAAATGGACATTCAATAAAGAACCAATAGATTAATAAATTTCTATATGATGTTCTGTTTATTGAAAATTGGTATTAACTATTACTAGCTAAAATATGGATTGAATTCCATATATTTTTTATAATTAATTAGGGTGATATATGAGGCCAGTCACCTTTCATATTGATCATTATATATTATTTGTATCTAATAGATATGATACATCCATTGGATGATTGCATAGTATTCACAACCTGAAATTTACAAAATTATTACTCAAATTCTCAGAGTTTATAATTAAGATAATGCGTCTTATTAATACTAGTGAGCCTAAATTCCAATATTAATAAGTGTTAGTTTGAGTGTTGATAAATGATTTAATACTATTATTTGTTAAACGTTTTCAATTAATTTTTAGTCTTTACTATTGAGAACAAAGTACATCTCATCCATATTTTTCACTATATTTGATTTGTGGTCAGAGCTTAATTTTTCTATCTACTTATTTTGATAGTACAATATATCTACAATTGATCCACTACAATGTACATAGATGAAAAGTAAATAATGCTGAGAATAAATGCTCAATCTGAACCATTATACAATATCTCAAGCCTCAACGAGTGTCACATAGGATTTTTCATCCGTCACGTTGATCTTTGTCCATGTGGACCGATCAAAATGATATGGGTGATGAATGTGTAATTTTATTCAAATTTGAGTGAGCAACGAGTAATTTTTTAAATTTCGATGACTAAGTAGTAATCTATAGAAAAATTTAGTGACCATTAATTAAATTATCCCGCCAAAGGTTTTTACTAGCCAATCATCATTTGGCTAAGATCATCGTCTCTCAAATTTGATGGGCTATACACATTTCAACGTCGTGAAAAAGTAAGCTAGACCTAAACGGCCACTAAGGCACACCTACCGCACATCATAACATCTAGAGGTCGTGAACCTCAAATAGGTGCAGCGCTAGGGGACGCTACCCTAGGCTAATGCCTCCAAATTGTGGGGAAAAACTTAACAAATTTCATATAAAAGAGGCAGTAGCATATGAAAATTTAGAATACAAATAAAGCAAGAATTTATTAATAGAACAGAATATTTTACATATTCAGAAGATAAGAAATCCCCCAATAAAATTAATACACAGCATAGCTTCGTTTCAATATCAAGTGGAACATAGAAAACCAACTTTCTGTTAACCCACTTCCATCAATCTCAGGCAAACAACACCCAGTGAATAATAGAAATTGTTCTTCTCATTTCCTCAAGTCATATGCTGCTCAATATTAGAGAGAGAGACCATATCTGCTTGGTTGGAAAATATTCACAATGAGTGTAGCTCGTAACTTTCACTACCTTCCGTTGCAGTACGCAGCACCAAACCAAAAGAATATCATGCTGCTAAATTCTATTTCACGATATCCAGCCGTCTAAATCGCCTCATAAAAGCTTCCAGGCTGTAATACAAGGAAGACTATTACCATCAGAAAATTACATTAGCCAAGAAACTTATGCATTATCAACTCCAACCCTCTTTGCTGTAACAAGTAACTCAGGTCAATAAGTCCAGGTGCAAGCTTTGACAAATGACAATGAAGGTTCATAAGTTTCGAGGCAGTTAAAGAAAGTCGCAACCTAAAATGTACACACAGGTTCACACAATGACCCAACCCCAAAAAACCCAGCTAATAATAGATGGTAAATGTTTCATCGAAATCAAACTCAATAATAAAAGACACAGAAAACAAAACAAATCTCCCAAACCTGTAAGACAAACAATAGGATTCAGTCTCATTATTTCAAAACTCTTTTTTCTATATACTTATTTTGAGTCACACATTCACATAATAAAATATTCATATTCCCAATAAATTTGGTGGTGTCATGAATTTTTCTCGTGACTTCATTAGATCAATTCCTACTCATACATACTTTCACCTGTCTATTTGCGCAATTTCATAAAATGCTCTTTTTTCACCTCGAAGCTGAACTGCATTTAGGTCGTCTTTTGGGAACTTTGGTGTCTTAGACATGCTTCTCATTTTTGCTCGTTATCCTACTATATCCTCTAAATCACTATCATTTTTGAAATAATATCGACAAATGGTCCATCTTTTTGTACTTTCTTTGACCACAAACCCGTTATCCTTTTTTGATCATCCATTAATTTCTCTATTTATTTGTTGTAATTTCCTTTTTTTACAGAACACTACATGTGCCTCCATGTGTGCCAATAAGTCTGTAATAGCTTGTAGTGTATATTGGAAACTCCTTATATTTATTTGTTGTTACTATTAATTGCCATGCTTACATCTTATTACGAACTCAAGCAACTAAACAATGAACAATTAAAGAAGAGGAGGAAGAGGGAGAAATAGGAGAAGGTTGTAATTTCATTCAATATTCAAGTGTACCTCATTACATTCAAGGAGCATCTTTTTATGAATAATGTTATTTGTAGCCGTTCACTATCGTAATCGTTCTATGTGACATTTATGTGGCGGTTAATGATTTGAATAGCAACTAAGAGGGAGATAGCATTGGGACATGCTATTATCTATGTATGTGAACGGAGCATGTGATGTGGGAAAATCAGTCTCCTATCTGTTTATTGATCCTTTAATGCAGATTAATTGTTTAACTATCACGATTAGCAGTGGTTTGCTCTTTGTTGGAATTGTTCAGTTGTACTGTAGTGTAAGGGCATGGTATATTTAACTGAAATCCCGGAAATCATTATGAGTTGTTCAAAGCTCTTTATTGAACTTGTACAATATTATGGTTTCTTCTGAATTACCTGTGTTTGGTTGCAATCCAGGCAAACACAGCAGACCCCAAGACGTTCCCTTTTATATGACTTGGAAGCAAAATCGATATAGACGGTGGAAACAGCAGAGTCAAGTTTTGGACTTTTAGTTGCGGTGCTGTATATAGCTGTTGTTGCTCTCATTTGGGCTAGTTTCTCCAAATATATGTTTCTGAAAAGAAAGCAAGGGAATGGTATGCATCAAAAGGGAACATACCATACTTTGAGACATCAGCAAAAGAAGATTACAATGTTGATTTGCGTTTTTGTCTATTGCGAAGACTGCTTTAGCTAATGAGCACGAGCAAGACATGCGAGTATAAATAAAATCCAATATTTGCTATGAAAACAGCTATTCCGTTCCTCTGGTTAATCTTCTAACTCTTCCGGGTTATGTTTTCTCGAATTTTTTCTTGCTTATGCAACTTTCAGCAATTTTGCTTTTAATTCTTTTCACTTTTGCATTTATAGATACTTCCAAAGCATGCCCGAGGCTGTCCCTGACGGCGAACCACAAGGCGATTGTACATGTTAATTTGGAGTGTGCATCCATTTGAAGCCATCTATAACTTACTGTTCATATAACTTTCTTTAGTTTGTTCATTTGTTGTCTTTCGTTTTCTGAATCATTGTATACTGAGCACTCAAGATTAAGACATGATTGCTTTATTTTCCTATTTTATTTTAGAGGTGTCTAATGCTATACTTTCAACATTCAAGATCGAGATTGCAGTCAACTGTAATTTCCATTTCACACTGATTTTGTGACTTGTGAGCGATGAAAGCTCAATTTTTGTTCTTCATAGATCTCGAGCATTACAAAAGCAGTTGTGGATCTTCATTCTGATTTGACTATCATTTGCGCAAGTTTGTTAAGGGATGCAGACGATGTGATGGTACTGATTTTGGTATTCATGTGTCTGATCTCAGAGAGTTGGAACAATTCTATGAAGTCATTGTTGCCTCTTCCATTATTAGGTAAACTGGACCTCTGAAAAATGCTAGAATGTTCTGTTATGTTTCTTTATACAGTTGGCTCGTCTCTTATAGAGCAGTGAAATGGCCTCTTNTACTCCGGCGAACTTCCGATGACCGTTCCGACAACTACTCCGATTCCGGCCACCGATCTGGTGACTATCCCGGCGACCGTTCCGGCGACCGTTCCGATTCCGACGACTACTCCGATTTCGGTAACTGCTCCGATTTCTACGACTCAGGTCACAGTCCAATTCACAAGTCACAACCCAGGTCATAGCCCAGGTCACAGA